TGAGAAAACTAAAATTTAAAAATCTATTATAGTTATGATATTTTATTGTTTATTTGTGTATTTATTTATTTAATTTGTCATCTAGTTCGATCTTTTAAACCTCGACCTTCTTCCTTTTCCGAGTTAATGCCTGGATCGATTTTTAAAACATTGGTTCTGATGTGTTGGTTCTCCCAGTGGCAGAGTTTCATGAGTTGGTGTCCTCAACTGTCAATTACTTCGTTTTATTTATTTATTTATTATTATTATTTTGTCAGAAGACAAGATAAAATATCGGAAAACTTAATTGATGCATATTTATCGTTGGTGGTATTTACTTCCGATTTATTACAGAAAAAGCATTTTATGGCATAAGCGTTTTACACTATTGATTTCTCCAACCTTAGTTATCCATGCTGATCACAAATTCAACTAATCAGATTTTGACGATAAGAATTGAAATTATTTGCTCTAGTAAGTGTTATGTAAATTACACCATTCACTGCTTTTCAACTTTAAAAAATTGTTTTAAATTATACCAATACTATTGAGTCGTGGATGAAGAAGATGATCAGTCGCTAGCGAAGCTCAGTCGATGTTCTCTAATGATCACCATGTTTCCCCCTTTATCTCTAATATCTAAGTTAGTGATGCTCGTTCGCCGCTGAAAAAGTCGACGACGTGTTGATGCTGCGTTGGTGAATTTCAATGACTGTAAGAGAGGACGAGGGCTGGATGGTGTGTGAGAGTGGGGATGGGGTGGGGACAATTGTTTGGTAGGATGGGTGTGGGTACATTAATTTAATTTAGTAGTATTATTATTTAAATTAAAAACAGAATTAACACATGACTTTTGCATGTTTAAATTTAATGTCTGAAAAAATTGATTCGATGCATACTTAGGCTCTGTCTGGAAGAGATTTTGAGAATTGATTTTTTGACCATTAGAAGAAAAGTGGGGTCCACATGTAAGAAAAGAAATTAAAAATTACGACTGAAATAGTGAAATAACGGTCAAAAAATCAATTTTTTAGGATAAAATATCCCTCTCAAACAAGCTGTTAATACCTGACTTACGATTTTTTTTTTTTCCGGTTAAAAAATTGGTATTGGAAATCCTCTGATTTTTGTGTTAAAGTATAAAACTGATATTTTGCTGGGACATCCGAAGTAAAAAAGAAATAATTTTATATGGTTCCTTTAATTCTCAACCGATAGGGCCATTGCTATCACTCATGGCACTAAAGAAGAAGGTGACATCAGCTGGTGAAATCAAAGGGGGCCATTGATTATAGATAAAATGTATACAACCACCATATCCCTCCTCTCTCTTATCTTCCCATTTGCAAGATATACAAATAACATGAATATTTACAGCAAACTCAATCTTTTTTTTTTTTTAAGCAAAATCAAGGAAGCCCATAATTTTTTTTTATTTTTCATTATTTTATTTTACTTTAGTTTTAATTATTTTTTATTTTTATTTTTATTTTTTCGTAAAAGTATATAAAGTTGATGTATAAATATCTCACACCATAAAGAAAAGTATATAAAGTTGATGTATAAATATCTCACACCATAAAGACAGATTGATGATAATGGCGGATTCTACAAGAATAAAAGCATCAACTACAACTTTTCTTGCGGCCAAATTCTTTGGTTTTAGTCCCCACAATATCTTCTTCTCTCATAATTCCCACATTTGCAATTTGTTTCTTTCTTGGCGATATAATCAAGAATACCCATAAAGCAAAACCTCCCAAGATGCTTTAAATTCAGAAGTAGATTTTTTTTTCCTTCTTCTCGTTCAATCAAATAAAAAATGGCTGTGGCTATGGCTTCGACTGGGAGTAATTTTGGGCTTTACAGTAATTTGAAAGCTATTGAGAAACAATGCATTTCAAAGGCTGCTACTTTGAGATGCTTCTTTAGTTTGGATCCAGTTCATCCTTCATGCATTTTACCCAAAAGGAGGTAATTTATTTATATCCACATTTATCTTGTTATTTGTTTGGTTATAGATACAGAAATTATATTTTTTTCTTTTTTTTCTTTTTTGAGTTGTAAATTTAATTTTTTGAATATTTCTGATTTGAGTTTACTCACTCTGTATTTGTAGTTAGCTTCAATTTTGAGCTCACAGGTTAGGCTTGCTCTGATAATCATTTGTGTTCTTGGTTAATTGGTTGCATTTTCTTGAGTTTGGATTTGTTGACTTTCTAGAAAAATGAAACATTTTTTCCATTATGAGTGCATAATTTAGTTATCTTTGATGCTCAAGATTTAGTTTTTAGCTAATGTAAATCTTTGATTGTTTAAAAACTAGCTGTGGTAAAGCCTCAAATACATATATATTTCCTTTTTCGTTAGATTACGCTAATCCAAATGCTGGTGGTTTCATTATTGTTTTTTGGAATGAAGATACTCCTGCTGGAAATTACCCTCTGGATTGGCTAAACTTGCCATTGCCCGTCAAATAGTTCAGTTGGCATTATCCGAATTATGATTACAAAAATAATGTATTCCTGCTATAAATTTAACAGCATAGCTCAAGACACTTGTTCAGATGCAACATCCAAATCCTTTCTGTAAAGTTGTTTTATATCATTTGCATCGCTTGTTGTGTTTCAGCTTGTCTTTTTCTGCGAGTACAATTATTGGAAAAGCGACTCCGGCCACAGCTGTTGAGGTATCAAAAACTAATTGTTGCTTCAATTATTTTTACATTTGCATGTTTATCTGCTCATTAATCATTGCTAACATAGCTAGTTAATTGTGAAATTTTGCAAAGCAGGGTGGAAACAACCAAGAAACTGATACTGTTCCGATGCCTAGTGTTCTAATAGATCAAGATTCAGATCCAGATGCCACAATCGTAGAGGTCACCTTCGGGGATCGCCTTGGGGCTCTTCTCGACACAGTATGACACCATCCTTTTAGTGCATGTTTTGTACACACTGCTACATTTATAGGACTAGACCCTTAACAAAACAAAATTTTAACTTATTTTTCTTGTTATTTACTTGAGTCTAATCCAATTCTCCGTAAAAATGCCATTGTCTATGTTTCTAGTTTTTACATTGTTGGATATAAACAAGATTCTATAGTTGGTTATCAACATTAATTTCACATGGTGCCTGTTGTGTGATTGTTGGCCTATGTGTTTCAGATGAATGCTCTTAAGAATCTTGGACTGAATGTTGTCAAGGCAAATGTCTACCTCGATTCATCTGGGAAGCACAACAAATTCGCTATCACTAAATCGTAAGATTAAGCCTGGAATCCTCTTTTATAAGCACTTAACATAGTAAATGTTCTACTTAGTCAACATTTTCCTTTTTGTTTGTGGAATTCTCTGTCAATGAAGTCAATATTTTTATGGACTGTGTGGATTTAGATGTCTGATAGTGCCAAGTAGACGTCATGTTCCATTGTTCCTGATCATTTAGACATAAAAAATAATAATAATTCAGTTTTGGGACATAACGACTGCCTGTATCCTTTTCTTAAAGGCTCAAACGTGGGGTTCTTGTCAATAGTATTCGCCTATGGATTGAAAATGTCAAAAATAGTATGTGAGACATCCAATACATATCGGCTCGATTTCTGGACTTACTCTAATGTCTTGTTTGCCTGAGCTTGAAATATGTGTCAAATTCGTCGAGCGCGGTTGTCAAACATACACATGAGAATAGAGAATCACACATATTTTCTAAAAGTAGTAGAAGAAAAGTATTTATTGTGAGTTTGTGTAATCGAACCTGGAAATGTTTCTAACTTTATTTCTAAATTCTTCAATTTCCTAAAACTTCAATTAATTATATCAGCTGATAAAAAGTATTATTTATTTATTCATTATTATTAATTTTTTTTTGGGGTGATTTTCATTATCTTTATATGGGCTTGTTTCCAGTTCAACAGGGAGAAAGATTGATGAACCCGAGTTGCTTGAGGCAATACGTCTGACAATAATCAACAATCTGATTGAATATCATCCGGTATTCTTCTGTTAACCAAATTTCTGATAGATTACCCCTTGCATGGCTTTTATTCTGTAATTTTTTTCTAATTCTGAATGAGTTTTTCAGGAGTCAAGTTCACAGTTGGCTATGGGTGTTGCATTTGGTGCCATGCCACCAAATCGGAAGGTATTTAACTGCTCATTATTTGTCCAACTGTTAAGGGATATCCAACACATAGAATAAAGACAAAAATATTAATTAACATATAAGAACTTGAGCTACTTATCTTAATAAGATTGACATTTTAATATAAAACCTCAAGTCTTAATATGGTATCTGAGCTTATTAAGCTCCAACAAGCAATTTAATCCGATTAAGACTCGTAAGGAGTACACAGGTTTCAATACTGGCTATCTCTTTCTCATAAGTGATAATCTCATATCGAATAAAAATGAAAATATTAGTGCTTAGGCTATTCCTCTTACTAAAGTTGTCTTAATACTGGCTACCTCTTTCTCTTTAAAGTTTAGGTGTGTATCTAATAATTTGGCATGAAATTTCAACTCCACAATCAAATAATTCGATTGATCTGTTGAGAAAAAAAAATAAATGAAGTTTGATCGTTAATTTAAAGCTCATACTAAAACAAGTCAAGCTTAAACAACTAGTTGGTAGGATATAATTTGTATTGTGCCAAAAGGCTGTGTAGGTTTTATTACCATAAGTCTACCGAGAAGGTGGACGACGTAACATCATGCATGGAATTTGATTCATAGGCAAATAGTCATCCTTTCCGATTCTGATCAGCTAACACTTTACTCAATAATTGAGCATTCCTTCTTTTATGGTTACAAGTCTCCTGCAAAAATGGACGTTTACTTGAGATTAAAATGTATTGCAAGAATGTTAATTCGTCCGGATTGTCTTTGTGCAGATTGATGTCGATATAGCAACTCATATCACTATCCGTGAAGATGGCCCTGAACGAAGGTATGAACATAGAGCACGTCTGTATTGCACGCATTTAGCAGTTCGACTATTCACTGGATTAAGTGCATGTTCGGTAAGCTTAAAAGGAAAAAGTAGAAGTGTGTGCTAAGAACTTTTGGATTACTATTTGTTTCTTATTCTTAAGTAAACATGTTGCTTATCTTAATCTTACTACCAAAATAAATAGCTTGCCTCTCTTTCCAACTTTGACCTATAAAAATTATCGTAAAAAACTCACATATTTACACATAAGTAAACTTTTTAAGCCTAGCCAGAAATGCTCCTCATGATGGTTAATGAATGCTGTAGGAGACAGAGATCCTATTGCATATATTATACGAAGACTTTCAATGTTTAGGTTCTTATTTTTGAGGAAAAGTAATTAAGATTTATTTAATAGATTTCCTAATTAGATTAGTTTGAAACTTATAACAGGGGAATTACGCATTGTAATAGTTAAACTTGATTATTGTATAAACTCATATTTTTTTCCCTCTAATTTCTCTGCATTCTCTCCCCGTTCTCCCTCTCTCTCTCAAGTCTCATTTGCTTATTGTCAATCTTCATTACAAGCAGTGTATTGCCTTACTTTGTTAGCATGTTAGTGCTGATTAAAGGGTTTAATGCATAAGTATTCCCACACTGGCAGCTTACTCTACGTGGAGACAGCAGATCGTCCTGGGTTACTCGTGGATCTTGTAAAGATCATAACTGAGATAAACATTTCTGTTGAGTCTGGAGAGTTTGATACAGAGGTAAACGACTAGTTTAAGACGATAATATCGTAAATGATTGCACTATGGTAGCCAGAGCAATAGAAATAGCTGCCATTTTCATCTCATGAAAGTTTCGAATTTTGAGGCACAGGGTTTGTTGGCCAAGGCAAAGTTTCATGTTAACTACAAGGGGAAAGCTATTATCAAACCCCTTCAACAGGTACGCCCGGTTATTGTAAAAACTTGCTTTTACGATGATTTAGAAACTGCAATTTATCGGTTTAATCCCAAAACAATGCGTTTGATCTTATAAAATGCTGCTTCAGGTTCTTGCGAATAGTTTGCGTTAT